AAGCATAAAACTGGATGTCAAAGCTGTGTGGAGCTCAACACACTAACACTATGGGTTTTGCTTTAAGTAATTTTTAGATGCTAGATTTAAAGTTGCCCTGCAGCATGCTGGAAATGCACTGCTATTATTAGAAGATCAGCAAACTTCTGTTTATGTTCTTTGGAGGTGGGGGAATTGTTTTGCTTTACTTTGGTTTTGTTTTAGCCAGGCAGAAAAACAGACTTGTGAGACCAGTAGGAATTTGAGGGAGAGCATTTTTGCAAGCTTTAGGAAAACAGGTGACCCTGCCATGACTAAGGGAGGAAAAAATAAATGGTGCAAGTTCTAGTTACAAGGTACTCTAGTATTTATGTCAGATAAAGATGGAGAGTTGGAAGGAGGAGGAGAAAAGATTCATTTCTGAACACCTCAAAAGAACATTGGAAACTTGCTGCATCTTGGATATCAATATCATTCTATTGGAAGAGGCAGGAAATTGGACTTTATTCTCTTCGGTGCCTCAAGAATGATTTTTCCATGATAAAATGAAGTAGGAAAGTAAGGTGTGTTCTCAGATTGTAGCTGTATAAAAGTGACAGCTACCATGTCTGCCCTTGGTCAGACCTTCTGAGGTATATGACTTCTGGCCAGAAACCAAGCACCACATTTGCTTGCTCACAGCAGCAGGAGTTCTGCTCCTTGTGGAGCAGAAGTTCAGACAAAGGTAGGTAATTAAATGTGAGATCTAGAGGAGAGATTAGGCCTACTCTGTGCATCCTGCTGTGGCTGGTGATTTTCAGCTGGGCGTGGTCCTGCTGACTTTTGTGTGATAGCATTTTGAGTCCTGTATTTCTAGTGTGTGTTCACTGGGTGTAAGAAGTGAGGCCTTTCTCTGATCCAGGTCTCTTAAAACTATTGCAATGCAAATAACAGTTGAAGGAAGTTATGTGAAAGGAAAGACATGCCATAAATCAGCCAACTGTGTGAAGCATTGCCTAAAAAAAACCCTTCCCATGCAGTGGTAGCTCAGTTATTTTTTCAATAAGACCTTGACTTTCAGAACAGCCCTTGAAGATTTTCAGAGTCCATAGGAAGTGAAGATGCCTTGGAGAAAATTAGGAATTTGAACTTTAGAAAAAATATTACATTTTATTTTGAGGGTGTTCTTAATGTATTTCATTTCTTGAATTTTGCAGCAAAGTTTAGTAACTCTTTAAATAGCTGTGAAAAAAACTACTGTCTCAGACAGAGCCAGACATTCTTGCAATCTGGTGCTGTGAAAAGCTGTCTGATGTGTGAGAGTCAAGAGGAAGTTTCTCCTAAATTATGTGCTGTGTGTACCAGTAGCTGAAGCAAGTGGCCCTATAATGAGCATCACAGTAGAGACCAAGTCATTGAGAAAAACTTCCAAACAGGCCTTTTCAGTGACTCTGACACTAATAAGACCTTGCTGCAAGAAACCTTTAAGACCCATTGTTTGGTGGCTAGCATTAAGGGCACTTGTCTTAAGGAAGATGAGCCCTTCCTCTCAGACAAGGACTAGCCACTGGGTATGTTTTTCTGCAAGGTAGTAACAGCATCGCAGTGTTGGGGCCTGAACTGCTGTTCTCACAGGGGAAAGGGCTATTGTGGCAGTGACAAGCATATGTCCCTGTAAAAAATGCAGTAGAACCTTACTATGATATACTAGTTTTATGCAATATTACAGGTTTGGTGTTGTACAGCTGCTCGGGGACAGAACTCCACTGAATGCAATGAGCAGAATTTTATCTATTTTTTTGGTGCTAAGTTGAGTTATCCTGATCCCTAGAGCATGAGCATTTTAAAATACACATGAATAAAAGTTTTGTTCCTGCTTCGGATTCAGACTTGGTACACTTGCTTTTTCCTGATCAGTTTAGTATCAATTCTAGTACAAAATGGTCTTTCAAGTACTTCAGTTTCTGTGATCTCTAACAGAGTTCTGTGCTTACTGCATCTTAACCTTTTCTGGGTGGTCTCCATCCAAATACAAAGCAGGCCCAGAATGGTGTAGCTTTGAGCCTGGGTGTGGTCTCTGCTTTTCAGTCCCTAGTAGCTGCAAGTAGCTAGTAGTAGTCCCTAGTAGTAGTCCCTAGACATCTGCTTATAGCAGAAAAGTTGTGTCTCATCAGGCTTCCAGGGCTTGCAGGGCTGTTCCTACTGAGAGCAGTTGCTTACTTGTTAGCATCCGAGAACAACTTCTGTTTAGGTCGCTCCCTCCCACCATAAAAATGTACCTGTCCCTATAAATATAGACCAGGAGAATAGTTATGAACCTGCAGTGGAGGTTTATTCTGTTCTAAAGGCATGCTAACATTTCCCCTATGTGCAGCGTCTTCACTTTTCAGGGAAACACATCGTTCAGTCTGTTGCCTTGTTACTGTTAGGAACTGCAATGATAGGACAAGGGGTAATGGATTCGAATAGAGGGAGGGGAAGTTTAGGTTAGATATTAGGAAAATGTTTTTTACTCTAAGGGTGGTGAGACACTGGCACAGGTTGCCCAGGGACGTGGTGTCTGCTCTGACCCTGGCAGTGTTCAAGGCCAGGCTGGATGAAGCCTTGAGCAACCTGATCTAGTGAGGAGGTGTCCCTGCCCATGGCAGGGGGTTTGGACTAGATGATCTGTAAGGTCCATTCCAACCCTAAGTTCTATGATTCTACTATCTATAGTCAGTTTTAGACAAAGCCAAAGCAGTTACTGGGAATAAATAAAGCTGCAGAAACGTAATTAAGTCTTCTGTACCCCATGTGAAGGTCAAGGCAACCATAGTTTTCTTGGAAAATAGCCAACTCTTTAAGTCTATTTGTAAAAGAGAAGTGGCAGACTCTGAAGAAGTAACTGGAAGGCTAATCCCAACCCTCATAACCAAGAACTTTACCAACTTTATTGGACCTTGTCTCGCTGACTTCCACATGCTCTAGATCAAGTTTTCTACTGGTAATAGAAACAAGTGACTAAGCATTGGCTTTATTGTAGATATTGGCTCTCAGCCTCATTCTGTCCCACAGAAACCTGTAGGAGTTCTGCTAATTCTTCCTTAGTTGGATCTTCAGACTGTTGTGACTTTATGCTAGAAATATGTTTGAAACACAGGAACAAAAGAAGAGCTTGGTCAGACCATTAGGAGGTGCTGAGTCACTCTCTATTCCCAAAGAACTTGCTTTCTCAACTCTCCAGAACCAGGAGATGGAATATACAGGAGAACGAGAAAATAGGGAGGTTGGAAATTGATTTTTCATTTCCTTTGTGTGTACACAGAGTAAGAAATTAAATATTTTAGGCAGTTTCTACCACCACTGAATTTGAGCCCAAATTTGGAAACATGGCTGAGTGACTAGACTAGATATTCCTAATGTAGTAAGGTTATATCTATATGACAAAAAATCCCTTTCCCCCAGAATTTTAAGATCATTGTTTGAGTAAAGAGCACAAAGAATATGTGTTTTTTATTGGGTTTACTGGTTTTCTGTCTTGACTGAAGCTTGGGCCGTTCACAGAGATGTAAAATGAGAGGTGCCTCTTTTCTGGAAAGTGAAATGATTTGAGACATTAGAGGGTGAAATTGCATACAAAGAAAAAATATAAGTGCGAACCTTCTCTTTTCCTGCCTCTTCTTTTTGTGAGATATATAAGACAGAAACTGGATCATTAACCATTGGTTCAGAAACACCTTCGTTCACCTTCTTCCTGTCCATTTGCAATGCTGAGTTTGTGTTGGCAGTTATTTGAGTGGGGAAGAAGTAGAAGTCAGTGCTGTTAGCTCAGGAGTATTGTGATTGTCCTTCTAGAGAAGTGCAGGTTTAACATTAAGCTCCTGTTGACTTCAGTCAGGCTTAAGGGCTTAAAGTTACAACTTAACCACTAAAATGTGTCGTATTCACTTGGCACTTTCTAGGACTGAGGCCAGTGTTCAGATCCAGGTGGACAAAGAAACTAGTGACTGGTGGCAGTTGGGTTTTTTTCTGCAGAAATTAATTTATGGACCAACTCTAACTTTCTTTTTGTTTGTTTCTCTAGGTGCCACTTCTGCAAATCATCATGTCATGTGTCTTCCCTGCGCATACCTTACGCCTGTAAACTCTTGTTCCAAGAACTGCAGTCAATGAACATCATACCTAGGCTAAAACTAGCTAAGTACAATGAATGAGCGACATGGGGAAAAGTACCTTAAGAAACTGAGATCTAGCATATATAACTGGGAGGTATTTTGAGGGAACAGGAATAGTTCTAAAACCTGAGTGGGGAGGAGGGAGGTGCAGGACAGTGTAAGAAATCTTTCTTACATATCCTCCCTGTTTTTAAGTTGGCAGGGGTGACTCCATCAGTAGGCTACATTAGGAGTGGTTCTTAAAGCCTTGACTAGTCATGAGCAGGACATGTGGGAATCATGGAATAAGGCAAGTCCAGGTCAGGGCTTGCATCACTTCAAACAGTCCCACAATTGCTTTTGACAAGTTTTTTGCTGGACTAGGGATTAAGCTGAGCTAAATACACATCTTGTTCATAGAGGTTAAAAATGTTTTCCAGACCAGTGTAATATGAAAAACGAATAAATGTTTTAAATAACCCTGGCTGAATATGTGTTGATAGTTGGGTAAGGATGGTGAAGCCTTATTATAGTGTCCAAACCATTTTCCTGTTCCTAAAGCATTTTGTTGGAGTGTTAAAATTTTCTAAAGTAGTGTTGAGCTTAGAGAAATGAAAGTACTTTCTCAAGACCTTGAAATCGTAGAATTGTAAAATTTTAGGGGTTGGAATTGACCTTAGAAATCATCTAGTCCAAATCCCCTGCCCTGAGCAGGAACACCTCCTCACTAGACCAGGTTGCTCAAGGCTTCATCCAGCCTGGCCTTGAACACCACCAGGGTTGGGGCAGCCGTGGCCTCTCTGGGCAACCTGTGCCAGTGTCTCACCACCCTCACAGGAAAAACTTCTTCCTAATATCCAACCTAGATTACCCTGTTTCAATTTGTACCCATTGCCTCTTGTCCTGTCACTGCAGCTCCTAACACAGAGTCCCTCTCCAGCTTTCCTGGAGCCCTTTCAGATCCTGGAAGATGCTCCAAGGTCTCCAACCTTCTCTTCTCCAGGCTGAGCATCCCCAACCCCCTCAGCCTGTCTTCACAGGGGAGATGCTCCACGCCGCTAGCAACTTTGTGGCCTCCTCTGGACTTGCTCCAACAGTTCCATGTCCTTCGTATGTTGAGGACACCAGGACTGTGTGCAGTATTCCAGGTGGGGAGCTGAGTAAAGGGGAAGAATCGCCTCTGTTTTCCTGCTGCCCACACTCCTGTGGATGCAGCCCAGGATTCCACTGGCTTTCTGGGCTGAGCTCACACTGCGGGGTTTTCACCTGGTGATTTTCTCATCCACCATCACCCCCAAGTCTTTCTCCTCACTGCTGCTGAGATCAGACATTTTGAGTGAGATCTCGATGTTCAATACTGTGTGCAGGAAATGGTGTGATTCTACAGGCAATCTGGTTTCAGCAGTTTCCATGAAGTTCAGTGGAGGTGACTGCACACGCAGCAAGTGCATGATACAGCTTAGAGACCTACTCAGTTCCTTCTGAGTGTAGTGGATTTGATAATACACTGTCTCAAAGCCCTGAAAAGGCAGGCTGCGCACACTAGGTACTGATGTGTGCTGTCATAGGACTTGAGAACTTGTTAGCTATGCCCATATTTGTAAAACCTTTTAAGAAACCAAACCTATGAAGAACAATAAATCCTTCACTGCCAGTGAAGCCAGTTTGAATGGCCTGAAAGGATTTAGGAAGGGAACAGCTGAATTTTTTTCATGAGATCTAAGGCCTAAAACTAAACCAGTGGATGAACTGTATGTCACTTCACATCCACTTAAGTGGATGAACTTAAGAGTCACCTAAACTCACCCGAGCCCTTACTCAGCTAACTTTTTAAGCAAAGGAGTAGTCCCACTGAAGTCCAGATGAAGTTTGTGCTTGTTCATGTACTTCAGTGAAAAGCAGCCCTCTGGATCAGTGAAGATACAGAACACTGCCTATGATCTGAAGTCCCTGAGATGCTCTTTGGCTCCTCACATGGCCGAACCGTGCAAGATCCTGCCGATCCTGGCGCTGTCCATGCAGTCGTGTTGCTGCTATTCTCTTAGCTGCTTAAGGATGAGTATCAGCACAGATGAGTATCAGCCTGAGTAGGTTTGCATTTTAAGCTTCCACCAAGATTCTTAAACTATCAGTTTTATGTTTGAGCTTACAAATCAAGTCTAAAGAAATAGATTCTACTTTTCTTCTTCCTTTTTTTTTTTGCAATCAGCCTGACAGCATAGATACCAACACAGCACATTTGGGTTGGAAAAGCTCTTGAAGCACCTCTAGCAGGATCTGAACAGTTCAGGGTTATTTACAAAGGGCATGACATGCTGCTTCAAACTGGAGGGAGAGATTAACCAGAAGCCCCAGCCAAGTGAAGCACCTCTGCTTTGCTGGTGCCTGAGATGGCCAAGCTGCGGCTCGGGTGTGCCAGCAGAGGGAGTGAGCCTCAAAGGCTGGGGACATGCTGGCCTGCATCAAGGAAACCTCCCTGGGCATCAAGATCCTCCTTAAGTGTCCCCTAGGTTGGGTGGTCAGAGCTGCAGGACATGAAAGACTAAGCAATGTGTACAATTGCACCTGTGGAAATTTCAGCAGGTATAGCAGAGATGGAAGAGGAGCAATGGAGAAAGAGCTCATGAGTATCCCTAGAGAGAGCAGGTCTATGTGCAGCCCTCAGGGGGAACCTTGCAGCTGGTTTACCTTACCTGGTGAAAGCATGGGGATCAATGGTTCTATATGGTAGCTGAAGTTCAGGAAGAAAGGAGCAGCCTTAAGATGGATCCAGTAGAACTTAGAAATTAGACATGTGTGCCATTAAGTGAGGGTCACCCACTATGAACTAGTCTGGTGTTACCTACACATCACTTGTCTCCAACCTAAGCCTATGCATACCCTGGAGGGTTATTTGAGTACAAAGTTGGATAAAAACTCTGATTTTCACTTTTTGCCTCTTTAAGAGGCTGCCTGTCTTCCATCATAATAGACACCTGCAAGTAATCTCTTGGCAATGGTATAAGCATTACAAAATCAGCAGCAGAAAAGGAACAAGTGGCTATGAATTCCTGGAATATGGTTGGTCACAGTGGCAATTCAAGGAAGGAAGCTCACTGCAGTTAGGAAAAATCATGGTGCATGGCCTGGTGAGGTAAAATACATTCTCAGAACCCCAGAGCTGTCACACTGCTTTCCTCTGGTGAGCCTCATCTTTGCAGCCCTTTGAATTATCTTCGCAGACAACCACCCCTCCCCCCTTTTTATGCTGTGAATGCCATCACAAAGAGGTCTCATGTCAGCCAGCAGCACTGCTGTTGTGACCAGACTTGCCCAAATCAACCCTGCCGTGACTCTGTCTAAACTGCTGAATTAGGCATGATATTCTGAACAGCACCTGACAAGTTCTTAAGGATTTAGCACAAGGAACTGTGGCTAGAAAACTACCATAAAGTTTTCATCCCGTTGCAACTTCTTTATCCCTTGTATGTAACACTCATGAGAGACCTTCTAGAAATGCTATTCAGCCTGGAGGTCACTAGTGTTAGTCCCAGCTAAAATGCCAAATACAGTTCCCTTTCTAGTGTAAGCTAGAGGTGTGTGCTGCTGTTGGAAGTGATACCTAACTCCATCTAGTGTGTTTAAGTTGCCATTTACTTTGCAGATAAAGGATTCAATACTATAAAGAGGCCTAGCATTCAGTAATCTAGTGTATTACTGCACTGCAAAACAAGGACATTAATTAAATGCTTCCCTGTTGAATACCTACTGCTGGTGGTAAGAAACAGAATGAAGCCAGGGCTGGGCTGCAGGTTGCCATGGGGCAGAGCAAAGCACATGGTTTTTGGCCAGTTCTGGAACTGTGAGCAAGGTAGGTCACTTGTTTAGATTTCAGAAAAAACCAGCTTCACTTAAAACCAATTCGCATAGCCCCTCCAGGTGTTTTACCTTTAAGGTAAATTTCTCCAAACATAGAAACTAGAAAAGCAAACTAGAAAAGAAAAAAGAAAGCAGACTGGCCAATTTTGACATTCAAAGAGGATATGGTATGAAATAGAGGCATACTGAGATGATTTGAAGATGTGGAAAGCAAAGAGCTCCCCCTAAGCACAACTGGTTTTGTTTGTATGTCCATATCTCGTTTAGGAGTTTTCCTTACAAAGAAGCTTCAATGTCCAGCAAAGAGAGCTTTTAATTCTTTGGACTACTTCCTTGTTGCTTAAACAGGGAGGAAAAGCAATGAAAAAGATAGACCCATGATTAGAAATTACTGTGTGTCTTTTTCTTGCGTTTTCTAATGGTGAATAGAAAAATACCTATGGTTTATAGCAAAATGGGAGTATGTTATAATTAAAAGCCTACAAAGACTGAAGAATAGTTAGTTATAACAAACGGCAAACTAAAGAAGACTGCTGTGCATCTGAGAATGGATTCACAAGCCCTGCTCAGATCACACCTGTAGAGCCTGATTGTAGTAACCGGGTGTCACACAGCTGTAAAACCATACTAGAGAGGCTCAAAATGTGGCTGTACTTTCTCTGCCTCAAGGCTCTTGAGGATGAGGATGGTCCTAACATAAGGGAGCACAAGCCCTGAAAACAGCCTACCTGGCATGCAGCCCTCCCACAGGGACCCCTCGGAGCTGTCCTCAGCCGTGTCCCAGCACAGGCATCTCTGGGGCTGTGGCATGGGCTGGATTAGTGCTGCTGAGAGACCCTCCTGATGGCCTCTCCTTCCCTCAGAGCTGAGGATTGTTTTACAGTCCATTTCAGCAGGGCCATGGGGCACTTGATGAATTCCCTGCTCTGAAGAAGACGTGACTTGCCCAGGGCCACAGATAGCCTGTGCCAGAACTGGGATCAGGGCTCCACGGTCCCCAGGTGCCAGACACGTGCTTGCCTTAAAACTGAGCACTTCATCAAACCGTAAAAATCCAGCCAGATGGTGACTCTTTGCTATTATCTGGACCAGTGCTGGGAGGCTTAACATGTGCAAGGCACGGTGAAGATCCAGACTCCAGTTTCTGTGTCTAAGGCTCAGAAACCCAGAAAATGGAGCCATGTTTTAGACCTAGATGCTGCTGAAAACCTGAACACAAGTTGTGACTTAAGTCCATCCTTCTCATGAAATGTTTCTACCTCAGCCTGGACCCACCAGTTTCAGTGGGAGAGTTCTTTCTTTGGGAAGAAGGAGAGAGGCGCAGGAGTAAGGATAACTACTTTGTCAGTCTTACTCTGCCCTGGGTATTTGGCCCCAGTCAGACTTTCTTTCAGGTAGCAAAGACTGCATGAACCAGTTTTGCCTCTCAGCAATCATGTAAGAACT